TACGCGCTACGCGCTACGCGCGCACGCACGCACGCACGCACGCACTCTCGCACGCACGCACCCACGCACGCACGCACCACACACACGCACACACACGCACACACACGTACACACAGGCACACACACGCACACACACGCACACATGCATACACACGCACCGCGCACGCAAGCAAAAACAGGCACGCTCCTGCACTAGCTCACATGCACAACTGCACTTTTCTTAGTATACACACTTATTGATGTGAAATTTGTAATTACTGCAGTTTTGTTTACTTAATTATAATCACCGTTCTGATTTGTATTCCTCAGAATGTTACTTTAATGTTACCTGTAATACAGGTTTTTTTATACCTACATCAGGCACCGGTCTTAGGTACCAGTCTGGCACTTTTGTAATACCTAGCACTAAGAATACCTATTGTAAAGAGAGAATAAATGCATTCATTCATTCATTTAAAGTAAATTTAAAGGTTAATTTACAGCCAGTATGATGATGTATATCATGAATATTTCTTATCTAATGATTCGACAAGGAAGAGTTATTTCTATAATAGCTCCTTTCATACTTTTTGGCAAATATTGTAAAATTTCCTTCAGATCGAATATAGGTAACGCCAGTTAACTGATACTAGGTTTTTTAGCCATCTGCGTAGGACAGGATTATAGTGCCCAAGTGTAAGGAAATAGAGAGTGCACCTGTGCTTGCGCATCAAGCACAGGTGCACTCTCTATTTCCTTACTCTCATAGTCTGATAGGACGGGATACGGAGGTAATTTAGGTGCAGAACCAACGGGTTTACCTGCTTTCCGAGGCACGAGGCTGAAACACCGCCAGCTTCCTGAGTCCGGGCTGCTGAAAAAAACTGAATATCTGCATTTTTGTGGTCTGGCCCGGTATTCAAAGTTGAGATTTCAAGATGAGGCAGGCATGGGCTAATACTTCATTAATGACAGATCTCAAAGAGCTTGAAACAAAAAAAAACAAAGTACGATAAATTCTATACAGATCTAAAACCTATCGACATGCGGTTATTATCATAAGGACTTCTTTTGCATTGTTATACCTATGAAAATTTAAACGGAACAAGGACAGTAGTGGTCAAGATAATTAATGCAATTATGAATGTGTAGATGTAATGAATTTAATAGTACCTACGAGTAGCACTAGTAACTGTACTGACAAAGATTGCAGCAAATTTCCTCTATCAGTCGATTCATAGAGCAACTATATTTAATTATGAATGTGTAGATGTAATGAATTTAATAGTACCTACGAGTAGCACTAGTAAGTGTACTGACAATGATTGCAGCATATTTCCTCTAGCAGTCGATTCATAGAGCAACTATATTTAATTTTATTGACACTTATTTTTACTTTACTTTACAATCTAAGCGACATCTCTCGGTCACATCAAGGATGCGAAGAACATAAAAACGTTGTAAAATAGGAAAATAACACAAACATTCGTACTTACATTCGTCCTACACTTGTATCAACATTGTAATAAAATTGAAACCGGCGAAAATAAAATGTTAGTGAATAATCATTGAGGTATCCAACTCGGCTTAGGTAGTGAGATTACGATGTATTGTCACGTATTGCTCAAAATATATAAACGATCCAGAGTGATCCCGTTCTTGTAATGACTAATAAATCTGAGACGTGATCCTTCACTGCTGATCGTATGAAGAAAACGAGCTCGCTCATCGAGCTATGAAGAGGACTATGCCCGAACTTTCTCTACGTGGTAGAATTCGTAATGAAGATATCTGTAGTACAACTAGAGTAACCTACATAGCCCTACGTAAGGATAAGCGAAGTGTACCATAAAATTGAGAGACGACCTGGTAAGACAGCATGTCTGGTAAATCGATGGAGGCAAGTAGCTCAGGACAGTGTTTTGTAGCATTCTTTGCAGGATATATTCAGCAGTATACTTGTATAGGACTTTACTAAATTGATAACAATAGAAATTAAAAACAGAAAAGGTGGTAAACTTTCACGTGAGAATGGATATTTAACAATTAATTTTTTTTAAATAAGTGCAACTAACTTCAAAAACTAAAAATAAGGAGTCATAAGTTCTAAGACATGGTACAGCGAAGTATTGAAAAAAGAAAACCTGAATAGCTAGGAAATAGAATATTTAAAAACACGAAAAGTTTACCAGCATTGTAGCAGCGCAGCGTATTAATTGCTCCATGACTCTCTTAGAAATGATGACGTATATAAGCTGTAACTTTTTTTATAAAAGATTAATTTTTGAAATTTAAAATCTATTGTCTTGAAACCAATCACTGAAAATTAAGTCAGAAAACATTCCACTACAATTCAGCCTTCTGAATTTCAAAATATAGGTACCTATTTTGAGATAACTAAATCAAAAACCTATTTGAATAAATGTGATTGTTAGTGAACATCCGGCCGATAATAAGATGGTCTATTAAAGAGGTCGTCTTACATTAAGCCATATCTCATCGAGCTCTGTTTGAACTTCAGATTCAGAATGCTGCCTATTCTGGTGCAATGATTCATCATGTAACCACGCAATGTGATTCTCGATATAGAACAACACCTAAATGTATTTTAGTGCATAATATTATCGCTATTATACTGCTATTCAAGCAGTTCCGCAACAAACTTAAACAAAATTAAACTTTTAATAATAAGTAAACCAGACTTCAAAGAACTAAAAGAAATATAAATAGTTTGGAAAAGTGCAAACCTCATGAGCGTTTTATTTAATTTTGTTGAAACAATTGTATTGCTGACTTTTAACATATATTATTTACTTGTTTTAAATGTAAGGTTCTATTATTTTAATAGATAGTGTCACTTACAGGGAATAAAATTAACTTTATCTCCTTGAAAGATAAAGTTAATTTTATTAGCTAAAAAATGAAGGCGCTTTTAAATTTTTAATAATAAAAAAATCTTATAAGACTTTAAAATTATTTTATTAACAAACTACGAGTACTATTAGGCTATTGATATGAAATAGGGAACCAGTTGATGTAATTCTGCAGCTAATAAAAAAACCCGGTCTCGATACGTCAATTTCCGTTTTTTTTTTAAAGAAGTAGCATAAAAAGTTTTTATTATTTATTTATTTATTTATGTACACACATCAAGATACAGAAGCATTCTTATCGTAAGTTTGTACAAAGGTTCTACTTATTCCATAATTTGCTGAAATATCTTCCAGTAGATCCATAAAGGAAATTATATTTAAATGGCAAACTTAGTGCATACATTACTACTACCAATGAATAAATAATAAACAAAATATTACGAAAATTATATAAAATTTAACAATAAATAAAAATAAAATATTTCAGTAGATAAAAATAATAAATACGATAGTTACATATGATATATATAAACTAATACTAATATAATAGAATAATATATATTAATTAACAGGATTCAAAGAAGTTAAGTTATTAAGAAGTTTTTAAAAATATAAAATATATTAATTATTATTTTCTTGACATACGGCTACTCATATTATCGCATAAGTGCAATATGGTTATAATAGAGGCATTGCGAGTTTTTCTGCTTAACCTTGACGCTTTGCGTTATGAGACGTGCTGTAATAATAGCTAATAATATTATAATAATAATCATTATTACGTAGGGAAGTGACGACCCCACCGCCTGCTGACGTAACTGTTATGTGACAAAAGCGCTACGTCAGCGCAGTCAGTCAGCACCCTGTCAAGAGGTGTTAATGCCGTGCCTCGGCAAAAATTGAAGGTGCAAAAGCCCGCTTGTGCATATGGCCTCACCATGAAACGGCGCCGGGTCAGAGCATCTACCGTTAAAGGACGCCCACAAAAAAGGATGATGGAATTGAATAGGACGCGCAAAGGACCGTTGCCTGGAGGTCGCCAGGACGCGTCTGAAGCTGGCGCTGGATGCGACAGCATGCGAACCGCCAGCCGAGCGCGAGGTGCTGCACGATCACCCATCAGCCCCTCGTATCCATCATCCCCACCAACTGTTTTGGTGTCGGCAGGATCTTCGCGGGCCCAGCAATCGACACCCTCCACTGGCGGAGTACGCCGCATGCGTTGAACAACCCAGATGAACAGCAACGCATTGCGGGCGTATTTTAGGGCAAAAGGGGGAGAAATTGGAGATTTTGGGCAAGGGTGCATCGTTTTGGGCAGGGTTGCATCTAATATTTGCTGAGCTGGAGTCATCTGTAACCGTCACCGAGCAAAACCTGGCAGACCGAGTTCGGTATATCTTGCGCTCAAATACATTTTATGTTACCGAACTCGAATGGCTACGACATGAGGCTGTTCCTTCATCGGATGAAAATGCTACGGCTGATGATGCGGCGCTTTTGTGGTTGTGGTTGATTCAAACGATAATAGAACAGTCGCTCAAGAACTGGAGCTAGAGCAAATGATGGAGTACATTGGAAGAATCGATGTTGGAAACGCGCAACATGCCTCTCAAAAATCGACCGCGACTTCCCCGCATAGCCCTAAGCAAACGAAATCGGGCTGTCGTGAGGGCTCTGAACCCAATGCTGGTGACCTGACCTATTTGGAAGCCAGCCGGGATCTTTGCGGACGGACTCAATTGTTTTTGGCGCCGCACTGGCAGTCTGCCGTATTATAGGCACAAAACTTGCCACGGCTGTACGCGCTACTCGACAAGGTAGTGCTATCCCAGCCTGGAAATTAAGAATTGAAGAACGTATCGCAAAGGATAGGGCCCTCATTGGCAGACTGATATGCTTCGGGTCAGGCAAAAAAACCAGGCCAAGGATTGTGCGCACCATCAGAATGGCATTTGCTGGGACAAATGTTAGTTTGTCCCAGCCGGATATAATGCAAAACTGAGGGAGCGCATAGACGACCTGAAGCAGAGAATCGCTGCTTGGGGAAAGCGGATTCGGCAATATACCGAGAGGTCGACAAGGTTTAACCAAAATCGTCTCTTCTAGAGTGATCAGAAGAGGCTCTTTAAATCATTGGAGCGACCAATGGTAAGTGGAACGAGTCCAGCACCGAATCAGGGCTACACTGTCGCATTCTGGCGCGGCCTGTGGTCAGAGACCGTAAACCACAGCGAGGGCCCTTGGACAGAAGTTGTGGCGAGTCAGTGTGCGGGTATTACGCCTATGGACCCCGTCATCATAACGCTGGATGACGTAGCTGAGGCGGTCCGTAGGGCCCCAAACTGGAAAAGTCCGAGGCTTGACGGGCTGCATCACTACTGGTTGAAGGAGTTCGTGGTGTGTCACGCTGTGCAAAGTAAGAGCTCTCAACCAGGAGTCGCTCCCGAGCCTTTTCACTACTGGGATCACTCATTTACTTCCTAAGGACCAGGGTACCACAGACTCGAGCAAATACCGCCCCATCACGTGTCTACCGACCATATACAAGACACTAACATCGATTTTGAGCGCGTGAATCACTCGTCACCTGGACCCAAATCAGGTGATGTCGCGTGCTCAAAATGGATGTCGAGGCGGCAGTCGCGGAAGCAAGGTACCACTCCTCATTGACGCGGTCATTGGCAAAGTGGTGAAACGCAACCGTTGGAACTTCTCCGCCGATTAGATAGACTATAGAAAGGCATTTAACTCGGTACCCCATACATGGCAAAAGAGCGTTCTCGAGCTGTACAAGATTGACTGTACATTTCGAGACTTCCCCGAGCAGTGTGTGGGGCAACGGAATACGATCCTCTGTCATCTAGGCGAGCGAATGACGGCTGCGGAAAGCCGCATAAGAATAAGAAGGGGTACATTCCAGGGCGACTGTCTGAGTCTAATCTGGTTCTGCCTCTCTTTGAACCCTCTCAGTACTTTACTGGAGGGCTCCGGGAGGGCTTTTCAGCTTCGGAAAGTAGGTACAAAAGTGACCGACCTGTTTTTATATGGATGACCTCAAGTTATTCGCCTCCAGTCGCTCCCATCTTGTGGAATTGCTAAACATCATTTGTGAATTTAGCAATTCTATTGGAATGGATCTGGGTCCTTCATGTTGAAAGGGGAAGGGTTGCTAACTCTGAGGGCATAGACTTATCTATGCCCATCAACTTAAGGACCCTCTCCAAGGCTAAAACATACCGATACCTGGGTATGTCACAGAACATCGGTAACGATGAGGCTGGTATGATACAGTCCGTTTGCGACGAGTTTTAGGCTCGCTTGACCAAAGTGCTTAACAGCCTTTTGTCCGGTGTGAATAAGATACACGCATATAACGGTTGGGTCATGCCTGTCCTTATATATACCTTTGGTATACTCAGATTTTTGCCAGAGATCTGTCTGCCCGTAAGAGCCAACTGTCAAGGCTGAAGACTGAGTGTGGCAGCATCGTTTCCGGGACACCTGAGATTTTGAGTGAGATTGAGAGGTTCTATGGGCAGCTGTACACATCATCGTTGGAGCCACACGAAAGTGTGAATAACGATCCAAGAACAAGTCTTATCCGACACTATTCCGATGATATCCCGGACGTCAGTCTGAGCGAGATTAGAATGGCTCTCCAGCACCTTAAAAACGGCAGGGCCCCCGGCGAGGATGGAATTACAGCGGAGCTTCTGAAAGCGGGTGGAACACCGGTACTTGTAGTCCTTCAGAAGCTCTTCAATTCCGTCCTCCATGGTGGCACTACTCCAGAGGCGTGGAGCAGAAGTGCGGTGGTCTTGTTCTTTAAGAAAGGCGACAACGCTCTCTTGAAGAACTACAGACCGATTTCCCTTCTGGGCCGCGCCTACGTGCTGTTTTCGAGAGTCATTACGAATCGTCTCGCACGCAGACTCGACGACTTCCAGCCTCCCGAACAAGCCGGTTTCCGAAAAGGCTTCAGTACCATAGACCACATACATATCCTGCGGCAGATTGTACAGAAGACTGAAGAGTACAATTTGCCACTTTGCCTGGCGTATGTGGATTATGAGAAAGCCTTTGATTCCGTCGAAATTTGGGCGGTGCTGCAGTCCCTTCAGCGGTGCCTAGTTGACTATCGGTATATTGAAGTGCTGAAGTGTTTGTACAGTAGGGCTACGATGGCTATCCGAGTACAGAACCAGAGTACGAAACCTATCCAACTGCAGAGAGGTGTAAGACAGGGTGACGTTATATCCCCGAAACTCTTCACCGCTGCTTTGGAAGACGTTTTCAAGCTACTGGACTGGAAAGGATACGGTATTAACATCAATGGCGAGTACATCACTCACCTTCGATTTGCCGACGATATAGTCCTTATGGCAGAATCGCTGGAGGACTTAAGCACTATGCTCAATGACCTCAATAGTGCCTCCCAACGGATAGGTCTTAAGATGAACATGGACAAAACAAAGATCATGTTTAATGTCCATGTCACACCTATGCCGGTAGTTGTTGGGAGCACTATGCTTGAAGTTGTTGACGAGTACGTTTACCTGGGACAAATAGTCCGACTAGGTAAGTCCAACTTCGACCGAGAGGTCAATCGACGGATTCAACTCGGCTGGGCAGCGTTCGGGAAATTACGACACATCTTCTCGTCAGGTATACCTCAATCTCTGAAAACTAAAGTGTACAACCAGTGCGTGTTGCCAGTGATGACTTACGGATCAGAGACGTGGTCCTTCACTGCTAGCCGTATGAGGACGCTCAAGGTCGCTCAGCGAGCTATGGAGAGGGCTATGCTCGGAGTTTCTCTGCGTGATAGGCTCAGAAATGAGGATATCCGCAGTAAAACCAGAGTGACCGACATAGCCCAACGGATTAGTAAGCTGAAGTGGCAATGGGCCGGCCATATAGCTCGAAGAACCGATAACCGATGGGGAAGAAAGGTTCTCGAGTGGCAGCATCGTACCGGTAGGCGTAGTGTAGGGCGACCCCCCACTAGATGGAGTGACGACCTGGTAAGATATGCAGGAAGTCGATGGATGCAGGTGGCTCAGGACCGTGCTTTGTGGCATTACTTAGGGGAGGTCTATGTTCAGCAGTGGACTTGTGAAGGGCTGTGATGATGATGATGATGATGATACTCAGATGGACTCAGACTGAACGTAACGTCCTGGATAGAAAATTCCGCACTACCATGACGTCCCATAGGATGCATCATCGAAGATCGTCGGTAATGAGGCTGTACTTGCTGCGAAAGCATAGTGGGCATGGCTTTCTGGGCGCGCTCACCATGCATAGTCTCGAAGTGTGCAGCCCCTGTCATTACTTCCTGGCGAGATCGGATGATCCATTCTATAATGACGTCATTTCTAGTGATAAAGAGCTTAGCTCTCTATCCTTAGCCAACGAGCACTGGCAGGACTCAGCAGTACAAAGCATTTCCAACTGGGAGACCGTATGTAAGGAGAAGGAGCTCCACGGGAGGTACTACAGGGCTCTACATGAGCTCTTCGTAGATCCTCCACTCACCTCTCTCCACTGGCTACGTTTCGGTGAGCTCTTCGGGGAAACCGAGGGTTTTGTCTATCCAATACAGGATCAGGTTATTTAGACCAACAACTATCAGAGATACATCCTAAAGGATGGCACAGTCGACATCTGTCGAGCTTGTCGTCTTCCCGGTGAGTCACCTAGGCATGTCATCTCCAGTTCTTCAGCACTTTCTAACACTGAGTACTTGTACAGGCACAACCTAGTAGCCAGTATTCTTCACCAGGAGCTTGCTCTGAAATACGGTCTCGTGGACCGGTAATTTCCGTATCACAAGTACTTGCCAGAAGCCGTGATCGAAAATGATCGCGCCAGGCTCTACTGGGACGGGACCATTGTCACAGACAGGCACTACTATTACAGATTGGTCGATATTACTATTCCATATGACGAGAACCTCGTGAAAGCCGAAACAGATAAGCAAACTAAATATCTGGACCTGGTTCACGAGGTGACTGACATGTGGGGTGGTCTGCCGACGGAAATTATTCCTATAATCGTTTCTCCAAACGAGCTAATCCCAGTCAGCCTCTCAGGTCATCTGAGGCGGCTGGGACTCCGTGACGGACCGCTCCAGGCTCAAATGCAGAAGTCGGTGCTCCTCGATACCGCACGCATCGTCCGCCGGTTTTTAAACCTCGGCCGATTGGTCTCCCCTGCCGAGGGCCTCCACCTGGTTGGACGTTTATTTTTTATGTTATTATATTAAATATATATTAATGTATATTTATTATTTCCTTTTACATATTTATTCAGCCCAACCAGATGAGAATACTGTATTAATACCCCATAACAATAATAGCTTCTGAAGTCGAAGCATTAATTCTTCTACATAATTTCTTTTATAAATTAAAATTTTTTGCCCTTAGTAGTGACTAAGAAATATTACAAGTAAATAGCAAGAAGAGTGCTAATTATTATAATATAATGTCTAATGATATATACACATTCAAAACCTTTTTTTATTATTTACATAGCATTACAAGCAACGTACATACAAAATATGTATTTATAAACATATATTTTTTTATATATATACAACCGAGTTAAGAATCTATTTGAAGTCCGCTTTTCATAATGATGTGTTCATGACCAATTTTGGCCACGGCGACATCGCCAGTAAACTATCAGCTGCACGGAAGACATTATTTTGCAGTCACTCATCATCACATATAGGCCGTAAAATTCCATTGCTGGACACAGGTAACTTCTTTTAAAGCGAGAATATGCCTTATGCGTCGAATTGATGTCACTCATCTTTGACGTTGCTGACTGTCACCAGTCTGCGTATTTTACGTCTGGCGTATACGGGGTGGTTATACCGCTATCTGTCAGAAAACTGTCTTTCTGGCGTAGTAGAATAACAGATATACCTAATGCTTTCAAAAGATGGACTGAAAGACTTAAATCCTGTTTTACCACACACTTTTATATGTGGTAGAGTCACGCTGCAGCAATATTATGATTGTAGAATGAATGGGTCGGCTCGACCTTGGAAGGACCACGCTTCCACAGAAAACCTGCGTAAAATAGCAGCTTAATGCTGCTGTGCTTCGTATGGTGAGTGTAGAGAACCGGAGACCCGTTTTACTGGAATCGAGGCATTCCATCTTAGTCCTCAAGGGTAACAACGCATCTGCATTTTTAATACTTAATCGAGGTTAAATGTAGTACTGTGTGCTCGTTTGTCACCCTTATCCTATAAAAAAAAACTTTAAATACATATCCAGACCTATGATGGGAAGCGGTGTCAAAGGTTTAAAATGTCTGGTACTACAATCGCCAACCCCAGCGTGACGAAGCCTTTCTACAATGGGAGTGAATTTGTTGTTGCACGAATGTTAGATCCAACTTTAGCACAGTGTAATATCTAGATTTTCTGTCTACTTTGTGATAAGATCGACAAATATATAATATACTAAGTG